ACACGCAAAAAGCACTCTGTCACACACACAACACAAACACGCAAAAAGCACTCTGTCACACACACACACAAACACGCAAAAAGCACTCTGTCACACACACACAAAGCACTCTGTCATACACACACACAAAGCAGTCTGTCATACACACACATACACACATACGACACACACACACACACACACAAAGCACTCCGTCATACACACACACATACACAAAAAACTCTGCCATACACACACAAGGCAATCTGGCATACATACACACACACAAAAAGCACTCTGTCATACACATACACACAAAGCACTCTGTCATACACACACACACACGCACACACACAAAGCAATCTGGCATACACACACACATACACACACACACAAAGCACTCTGTCATACACACACACACAAAGCACTCTGTCATACACATGAGAGTTCCTAATGGGGCTGATCAGAAACAAATTAAGTATAACAGCAGACCTTGAACTGGACAACTGTAAACATTTCATCGCCAATACCAAATTTCTCAATAATTCTTCTAGAAAAGAATTGCCTTTGAAGCTCACAAGTGAAGCTACAAAATGGTTTCACCCAATTGCCTTTGAAGCTCCCAAGTGAAGCTACAAAATGGTTTCACCCAATTGCCTTTGAAGCTCCCAAGTGAAGCTACAAAATGGTTTCACCCAATTGCTTGTGAAGCTCCCAAGTGAAGCTACAAAATGATTTCATCCATTACTGCTTCATCAACCTACACTATGAAACAAAAATAGGAACATTGATTTTTTCCCCAATGGATAGAAAACAATTAGACACTTTACAGTACTCTCCTGATTATCTCCTACCATTGGACCGTGGGGGCAATGTCACATCATATGAAAGATTTATATGTAAATATGTACATACACCCCCGCCCCCCCTCGGACAGACAACAATTTGAGGCTTACCCTTTGACCGTGGAGGCGGTGTCGAATCTCATGAATGAGTGGTTGGGGTCGTGTTCATCTTGCATGTAGCACAAGGTGCAGAGGTCAAAGTCGTGGCACTTGGTGCACTTCCACCTCATGCCCTGCACACCCTGCGTCTTGCACGAGTCGCAGATGATGTTCTGATGTCGCACACCTGACCACACACAAAGCACGCACAACTTCAGCAAAAGGAACTATCACACTCACAACTTCAGCAAAAGGAACTATCACACTCACAACTTCAGCAAAAGGAACTATCACACTCACAACTTCAGCAAAAGGAACTATCACACTCACAACTTCAGCAAAAAGAACTATTGTTCAACAGGAAAAAAGCAGCAAAAGTAAAATAAAACAGAACTAGGTCAGCAGCGGAGAGAGTAAGCTGAGAACTCTACAAATCAAATCAATTAATAATTCCCATCATCCAATGAAGGAGTCTAGCATGTGCAAAAACAAACCTTTAAGTCTCAAGCAAAGGCAACAGCTGAAATATATGATGTGGTGACAAGTGCTTTCCATCAAGCCCAGCTCAGTGGAATAGACAGTCTGCCACACACTTAGTCAAACACACACATAGTCAAACACACACATAGTCAAACACACACTTAGCCAAACACACATATAGCCAATAGTCAACAGATTTTGAGATCTACAATTGTTTTCTCAACAGCCTTTGCTACTAGGTGGGGGTTTCCTCATATACCTTACAAAATCCTTTCCTATTCCCATAAAAAAGATACTGCAGCTTTGAAATTTATATATGTTGTGCTTGATATGATGTTTCAGTTATGGGAGCAGAGAAATACCAGTCGAGCCATCAGAAAAAATCTGACAAATATTTTTAGTTCTGAAATCGATGTATTTTTAGAACACAGAACATGATGCGTCAAGTTCGTACTTTTTCTTTCGTCAAGTTCAACAATGAATTTAACTCTGAGAAACGTGTCTTTGTGGTGCCATATCAGGAATAAAGATATCTGTACCCATTTTCTCTTAGTGAGCCAATTACATTTTCATTTTCGAGCATAACTCATGGTGTCATTTCGCAAAGCAACTTCGATTCCCAGTGACTTCCTTTTTACCGGCCATTTTGGGCCCCTGGAACGAGCATAATATCGTTCAATGTTTACTCTCCGCCCAGACTGATTCCGAGGCTGTGACCGTGTGTAATTTTGCAGTAAACGAAAATCCCGCGACGCCTCATGCTCTGTCATCATTTGTTATGCTTGAAAACCAATCAGAAGATGAGAAATAATAGAGGTGGAGGAACACGCATTGTTCCTGTCAGTCCATTCAAAGCATATGTTGTGCAATGCAAGTCGACCAGAAGAATAACGATGGATGAGACGAATTCAAGTTTTCTTATGTCGCCATCAAATCTTAACATGATATGTCCGAATAAAGCTGTTATGTAAGAAAAATGCTTTCCTCCATTTAATCAAGTTTAAACCAAGTTATGATTAACATCGCACTGGTTCCAATCGTTAAGCAGTGGTAGATCTAGATGCAACCACGCATTCTTGGCCAGGATTCAACGACAGGGGAAAATCTGATGTAAATTAACGATATACCATGTTCCAAAACGATGACAAACATGGGGTCCATTTTGCGTCTTCATGGTTATCTTCAATAGATATTTGATATTTTGCAGAGATTCACAGTAAAATGTGAACAAAGTGGCATTTTTTTCATCGTTAGCATGTATTATGAGTCAAATTGAATCTCCTGAATCTTGTTTGCCAAAATTTTCAAAAAAACAAATTAAGAATAAGATACGAAATCAGAAAGATTTTCAATTCTTTCCGACATAACTATGATGACACAAATGCGAACACAACGACATTCCGCACTTCTTTTTTCTGAGATCCTCAACATTTTATATGCTCTTCATGTTTATGTTTGAAAATAAAAGCAATGAAAAAACTATTAAAAACTTGTATGTTCCATAAATTACTTTTTACGGTACTTTTCAATTTGTGTCATCATGGTTATGTTCGAAAGATATTTGATAGATAGCATAGATCATAGTAAAATGGGAATAAAGTGGCATTTTTTCATCAACATATAATATTGCGAGTCAAATTGAATCTCCTGAATCTTTGCCAAAATTTTGAAAAAGAAATTATGGTATGAAAACGGAAAGTTTTTCATTTCTTTCGGACATAACTAGGATGACACAAATGCAAACACAACAACAACAGAATTTTTTTTTCCTGTGATCCTCTCACCATTGTATAAGCTCTTCATGCATGTTTGAAAATTAAAGCAATGAAAAAACTATTAAAACAATTATTTGTTCAAATTCTAAAAAATGTGCATAGTTATGTCAGAAAAAATTTGACTTGATGAAATGTAACACCAGTTCGAGAGCTTAGCATGCCATCTGTAGGTCTGTAAATACATGTTTTTGTAGGAGGAGATATAAATGAAGAGAAAAATTCAAGTAAAAACAAAATATTCAAATCCCTCTGTGCTAAATTTTAGGTACCCAGCTTTTGGCAAAGCCTCATATGCATTTCCTTTGTATTTAAAACACTTGTAATATAGTGAAATCCGTTTAAAAAAAAATAAATTTAAAAAAAAAATAGTAGAGGGTCTTACGGCGCTCACAACTGCATATAAGGTCATATGAGCGCCGAGGGGTGGGTGTCAACAGAGAAGTCTTTACAGGGAATCAGACTTAGACTGCTCACCTCTCTAGCTTCAACAGCACAAGGTCTGCTTCGACTATCAAGGCACCCCAAAATAGCAGGTCATAAGAGAGTGACAAACATACAAAAGAAGTAGAGGAAAAATGACAATAGTAAGGATTAGGAAGGAAAAAGCAGCAGTTCCCTGTTGTAGATCAGGCACAGTTATGAGCGTGACATGAATCAGCCCATTTACAAATCCACTGTGCTTGAACGAGAAATGTCCCCCCTTTGGGAATGGCCTAAAGACACTACAGTCAGTGGCACTGCCCCGGGGGGAATGGCCTAAAGACACTACAGTCAGTGGCACTGCCCCGGGGGGTGGGGGGGGGGGGGTGAAATCCGTACAAAACAAAAAGATTTCCCCATCATGACAATTTTGCTATGTGCATGCTCAACTGTAGCGAATGCTAGACTGTAGCTAGACTGTAGCGAATGCTAGACTGTGGCTAGACTGTAGCGAATGCTAGACTGTGGCTAGACTGAAGCCAGACTGTAGCGAATGCTAGACTGTAGCTAGACTGTAGCGAATGCAAGACTGTAGCGAAAGCTCGACTGTAGCGAAAGCTAGACTGTAGCTAAACTGTAGCTAGACTAGCGAAAGCTAGACTGTAGCTAGACTGTAGCTAGACTGTAGCGAATGCTAGACAGTAGCTAGACTGTAGCGAGACTGTAGCTAGACTATAGCTAGACTGTAGCGAAAGCTCGACTGTAGCTAGACTGTAGCGAAACTGTAGCTAGACTGTAGCGAATGCTAGACAGTAGCGAATGCTAGACAGTAGCTAGACTGTAGCGAATGCTAGACTGTAGCGAATGCTAGACAGTAGCGAATGCTAGACTGTAGCGAATGCATGCCAATTGCAAACAGATTGAAGACTTTAACCACCATAACTAACCTTGGCTCTAGTGTTTTGACGAATGGAATCATTTTTTGTTAGTATTTAGGCCCTATTGATTTCCATTTTCTAAAGATTCATTGAAAGCCTCCAATGGCCACACATAACTTTACGAAGGGTTGTATTTGGTCCACAGGCTTTAGTTTTCCCACCTTTGCTGTAAAACATTGATAAGCAGTAATTCCTTTTCTACGTGACAATTTGGAACAGACACCCACTTGGGCAGTTCACAAGGATGATATAGACGAGGAGACAGCATCAGCTGGAAAAATTGTAAACAAAAAAGAAAACCGTGTAAAAAACTTCACTGAGTCCAGAATCCCTCACTCACCAACAGGGGCATTATCAAAGATGCGCAGGTCATAGGCTCCTTGATAGCCAACGCGGTAGTTTGTCCGCGCTCCGGAGTCCCACTGTACAACGACCGTCTTGTCTGGAGATGTCTGGCTACCTGGTCGCCCAATCTCTACCACGGTCCCCACGTGACCCTCCCCGGTGTCTTGATTCCCCCACTTCCAGTCCGGACCTCGCACTACACGCAGGCCCAGCTCCATGACTCTGTGTGGATGAGACAGAGAGGACAATCAAAGAAAATCAAATTATTTCATCTATGATCATGATCCTGTATGGATGAGATAGAGAGGACGATGAGATAGAGAGGACAATCAAAGAAAATCAAATTATTTCATCTATGATCATGATCCTGTATGGATGAGATAGAGAGGACAATCAAAGAAAATCACATTATTTCATCTATGATTCTATGCATCACAAATGGATCAGGTAGGCATTTCTGGAACACTTTGCTACGAAACAGTATTTGAACATAAGAAATACATAGCACAAACTTTCACAAAGGGAAGAGTTAGAAGTCTGTATATCTTCTATAAAAGTCTTAGAATATAAAGCAAGGTCTTGACCAAGAAGACAATCAAACAATACAAGGATAATAGATTGGCATCTTGCTTCCTGCAAACATCCATTTTTGGATCCAAACTTTTCCTCAGGCTTGCAAACTTTTTCAAAACTCCACCAGGGACACTACTTAAAAGAGGATATCAGATAGGGAACATTTTATGACAACGCACAAAATCTGATCAAATAGAACAGGTTTTGGTGTAATGTACAAGGAACAAAATCCCATCAAGTGGAACAGGTTTTGGTGTAATGTGACAAGGCTCTCAAACTGCAGAATACCTCATCCAGGACAGTCCCCAGAAATTGCCTCAGAGTGTGGGGGTGATAGCTAGTTCGAAAGTACCCTGTGCACTAGAGCTGTTCGCAACTATTCGACATACATGATTTTTGCACTATTAAAAACTATTCAAAGCCTGGCAGAGCCATTTGAAAGTTGTGTGATTTTTAAAAAAAACAACAGATAATAGATTTTCGTCTCATTTTTCTCAAATGTAATAAAATTGGAGCACATTATCTAAAATCATTGAGATAAATATACAGAAATACTCTTTATTTGATGATTACGAGACAGAGTGAGAAGTGGAGCCTACAAGAGTTAATTTAAAACATTCCTCTGGAGAATATCCCTTTATTCAACATTCACTCGCCACACTATGGACAGCTCAAGCAAGGGCACTTGACTCTTGAAGCACAGCGAGAAGTTAGCTGTCGCAATAAGCTCCCCTTCCCCTATTTGAAATTAGAAGCGCGATGAACGGCAACGTGAAGTCAACCCACTGCACTGTCTGCGACAACAACACAGGCGCCCTCAGTGACTGGTGTTGAGAAAGGACTGGACTTATTATCAGAGAAGAAAAAACCATTCCACGGCGCTTTGAATAGCTAAAATTAGGTCTGGGCTTATCGTAAGAAAAAACCAATTCGACGACGATGTGAATAGCGGAAGTTAAGGCTGGCTTATTTTATCACGAAAAAAAACCCATTCGACGGAGGTATTCGAATGGCAAGAATAGTGAGCTCATGCTTCGAAGCTTCACTGAATTTTCATTTCCTCAAAATATGGCACAGCTGTACAGTGCAGGCCTCAAGGTTAGAACGCATCATGGTAGTAGACCAAGGTCAGACAGTCAGATGGAACTTACGGCTGACCACTCTGTTCTGGTTGACTGGCACCTAATTTATTAAATAAAAGACACAAATTGCTAGATTTGAAGACATAAATTTTGCATCCCCCCCCCCCCCCTTATTCATATAAGGGATAGAAGACCAAAATCCAAAAGGACATCATGCTAAAAACTAGAATTATAATACAACTTTTCCACAAATGCTTCCCTTGACACAACATATAAAAAACAAGACCAAAAAAAAAAGATTCCAATCAATTCCACCATAGAAAATTTGTTCACTTATCTTGTAGTTCTGCCCTGCATCTTTACCAAAAAAATCCACACATGGCTTTTTTTTTTCACCGTTTCCTACATTTTACGTTGAACATCAAATTTTCCTTCCTCGATTTTCAATTCTTGAGCAGTTTTTTTCTCTCTCAAGAAATCCAGTTTGGCCTGGGGTGTGCAACCACCAGGGGTATTTCTGCGTTACTTCAAAGCATCCTAGTCACTAGTTTTCATTTCAGCGTGCCGTAGCTGCGTTATTTTTACTGGACTTCAGAAGTTATCGAGCACTATCAAAATAATAAGGCAGACTACTCCATAAATTTATAGAGAGATCTCTAGGAAATATTCACATGAAGCTACAGCAAGCACCTAGCACACCTCTGTGATTGGCCCAATTTTAGATACGTACTTCCGCCATCTATTTTTGTCGTCTTCCGGGGCTTCCCTCGCCAGTTGACTAGATCTCACCGTGGCTGGCCCGTTTTGCCGCTTAGCACGTGATGGGCTACGTCACTAGGTATCACCGCTAACTGCTTGGGCTGTGTATGTGTGCGCACGTGCATACAAAAATAACGATGTGTGTGTGCGTGCATGTGTGTATGTGCATGTGAATTTGTGTGTGTACAACTTTGAGGAGAAGGTAAATTTATGAAACGAGAATTGCTGAGGTTGTTATAATATCTCTTCATGTCCGGTAAGCCGATGGGAGCGGCTCGGCGTGAAGTGGGTCTGGCCGGCGAGCCGCGGACAACGGCTCGCAGCACTAGCCTTCATTAAATACACGCGAAAGTAATATTTCATGACATCAACCGAAATTATGGTCGCAAATGCCGAAAATAGGTCCTTTTCTGTTTGTACTTTCATTTTGTAGCGTTTGTGCGGGCGCGAATGCTAGATTTGATGGCTTGTTTCCAAAGCTGATTTTCTGTATCTAATTTGTTTGTGTCGGTTAGGGAGATAATCATGGCTGAAGATTGCTCCTGAAATAAAATCTTATAGTGACAGTTTTCTTGCTTGGATTATAACTGAGACAAATTTTCATTCCATTATATTATAAATCTAGATCCAGATGTTGGACCTTGTAGGCTCTATTCAGGTTAGTTCATCGTAATATGTAGGCCTATGCTATGTGAATGTGACTTTTTTTTGGATCTATGTGGTTATTGTACACCTCATCTTACACCTGGAAACTTCAAAGAATTACTCAAAATTCCTTTGAAAATGTGCATAAAGACACAGTTTTCATATTTAGGTACGAAGTGACTATTCGGACTCGAGTCCGAATATGAAAAAATGTTATTCGGACTCTGATTCTTGTCCAGCATGACATCACTTCCGACTTCCTGTGACTCGTGAATCCGGCTTCCTGTCCTGCCTCACTCGTGACTTGCCTCAGGCTGGGTAGAGACCGGGATCACTTCGGGCAAAAAGGCGTTTTGTACACTAGGAGCCGAGTTTTAATCTTATAATGAATTTGAGGCCGGCCTGAAAAGTTATAGCGTTTCTAATAAATGTTTATTTGTCAAGAGGTCATCAGAAGCAATTAAAGATAGCTCGTTAGCGTGTGTCGGGGTCAGATGGGTGACCTGCACACGTGTGGCTGTGTGCGTGTCGGGGAGTGAGATGGGGGGGGCACAATCGGTCCGGGCGTTGAACGTCGCATACGCGTCAGTCTTTTTTCCCCCCGCAACTGATCATTTTTACAATAATAAGCTAGTCTTGGCGTAGATCTACGTAATGAATTGTGTGCTGGTCTATGGAATCAAAAGTTGCCGTATGCTCAGCTCTACACAGCAACACAACTTTTTCTTGGTAAACAATCTTGTGTATTTGAACGAATCGGTCTTTTTTTTAAACACACAACTCATAATATGCAGGTGCCAGGTGGTCTGCTAATCTTCAATTTTACCTTTTTCTACAACAAAGAAAGTGGGAAACATGGGGGGTGGGGCGTATCAATGATGCGGCGGGCATCGGATCGGCAGAAAAGGTGTGGGGGAAACAAAAAAATGGCGGAAAATTGGAAGCACTGAACGTTAGATCTAATCTAGATCTATAGAACGAAGACACTTCCTTTTTTCCGGACCCGAGTCCGAATAACATTTTTTCATATTCGGACTCGAGTCCGAATAAGAACTTTTTAAAATCGGACTCGAGTCCGAATATGAAGAAATGTTATTCGGACTCGAGTCCGAATAACGACGGCCATTTAGGTATACAAAACTATAAATGTAAGCCTTTGATTTATTGTAAAGTGAGTATAGAAATCTAGATCTAGCTGCTCAGCTCTGTGTTTACACTTTTCATACCAAATGTGGGTTCTGGCAACAGTTTTTTATTTTGGTGTATTTCAAAAGGATGGGCTTCAAAGTAGCTACAGCCACCATAGATGTAATCCTAGAATGTCAACATCTTTGCTTCTTTTACTTTGGCTCTGTGCTCATGTTTTATAAAGTTACACCCATATATTTGGGTGAACCGTGTTGTAATATTGCAACTTTTTTTGTGCTAATGGCCATTTACTTCTAGATCTATAGTATTTCATTCTTCAATAAAGGCATCTAAAATGAACACCAATAAATGCAACTTTCATTTCTGAACACAAATATACCAAAGGTTTTTATATGGGCCTAGTAGATTGAAAGTTAAACATACACTTTTGTAACCCACCCTACTGCTGTACAGGATCAGTCCCTGGGGGGCTTCGGTCAGAACGAAAATTCTCTAGAGACATGAAGAGTTATAAAACATACAAAATACAAGAAAACAAAGACAGCGAGATCGATCTTAACAGTGGCGAGGGAAACCCAAGAGTCTTGGTGGGGGAAACCCCGGAAGACCACAAAAATAGATGGCGGAAAATACATCATTTGGGCTAATCACAGACCTGTGCTAAGTGCTCGCTCTGTAGCTTCATATATATGAAATTCTACCTCCTTACATTCCTTTCTTTTTCAAAAAATTTTTTTCTTCCTCTTCTTCTGGGGCTGTCAGTGACCAACATGACACTGCTGCTGCATTGAGGCTAGTTTAGTTATTAGATCATCCAAACTCTAGACTCTAGAACAGAAGAAGAATCTTTTCACCTTAATTTTACAAAACAACATCTGAAAATGGAAACTAGATCTAGATCTTGATTCTAGATCTATCTAGACTAGACTTTACTCTAGATATGTTACATGATATCTAGATCTCTTGAGTCTAGATCTAGAATCTAGCTCTATCACTCTGACTCTCATGACGAATGATGTATTTCTCAAGACTCATTAGATCTAGTTCGAGGGCTATAGGCATACACAACCAGAAACTCTTGGGTACTAGATCTAGATCTACACACTTAAGAATCTGGGTCCCGTTTTGGGATACTAGTTTTGACCCCACCGACGATTACTTCTAACACTTTGCCATCACAAAGCTCATACAGTGTAGTAAAAACCCTTGCCATCAAAGGCAGAGAAGCATTTTGGGGAAAATAATATTGTACTTTACCGGACCGCCGGTCGGAACTACTTTCGCTGTGGCGCCCCCGGTGCCTAGTGGCCCGCTGTTCTTCGTTTCCTGGCTCCCCTACTCAGTTTTCTACGCGGCCACCTCTATTCTCACCCGGAGTGAGAATACTGAATAGTGCAGGCGAGTCTTGTGGCTATTCTCACCCGGTGCGCGTTCACCAAATTTTGCGTTCACCCTAAACCACAGAATTCTACACTGTGATAACAGAAAAATTGTAGAATTCTGTGCCGTGAACAAACGTTCCATTACAATTGTAGCCTACTAAAAGCGTACAATTTTGTCTGTGGGCAGTGGAGAGAGAGAGAGAAAGAGAGAGAGGAGTAGCGCGAGAATTTCCGGGCAAAACAAAATGGCGACCCGCGTAGTTCGGCTCGATTCGAAAAGTTAAATAGCCGTAGCATCTTTGTAGACAACCAAATTTATTTACTTTTGTGTTTTAACATCATTTTTTAACTTTGTTTTGGTCAATTTGATCGTCCACACCGATAGTATAGACAGTATTCAGAAAGAGACAGAGAGAGAGAGAAGAGGGGAGGAGTTGATCTTGCGAGAACTTCCGGGCGGGTGAGAATAGCCACTTTCTTAAAAACAAGTGAAATTTTACTGCTCATTTTGAAGGCTTAAACATTTAAGGCCTACCATATTTTAAAAATCAGTAGGGCTATATTAATATTATGCCAAGTCTAAACAGACGAGAAGGGACCCACATATTGTCAAGTTGTACCGTCTCTTCTCTTGTTCGGTCAAACCTAAAATGTATGGCGTGGCCTCTTTGAACATTACCAGACCACCACTAGATCTACTCCGGTAGAAAGGGGGGTGGGGTGTAGATAGGGGGGCGCAGGGGGGTTCACACAAGACTTCTGCGGCTTAAACTTAAGTGTCTCCAGTACAGGATCTACAAACTAACAAATTCGTCGTAATTCGACAAAAACAGATTCCAGGGCCAGGGCTATGCCAACGCTTTCACTCAGAAAAACCCAGTGTCAAACAACCTTCACTTGCAATATATGGACACATAACATGACACAGAGTACAACATATAAATAACATATTATTCCGACTCTTCCTTTGCTTACACTAACAGCAAATATAGTCCACTAGCTTCCGACTCTGTTTATTTCGCCCATGGCGGCCATCTTTTTCTGCGTAATGTCACAGTAAATTAGGGAGTGTCTACTACAGTTTTTCATAGACGAAACGGTTTTAACCACAAGCAACAGAAACCAGTGGCATCTCCTGAACCAGCAAATTCTAAAACCTCCTCCATAGCCTAGGCATATCTTTTAAAATGATTCTTTAGTAAAGTGAATAATTTATCAAGAGGATACAGATTTATATGTAATAAGAGCAAAATAAGTTTCCAAACGATGATCATTGACCATAACAAAAAAAGTTCAGTACATTTCAAAACAGTAGGCAAGCTAGGCTATCTGATAATTCATTTAATCTTGCCCGAGCTTGGCTTTTGGGTGGCATTGATGCAAAAAAATGTTGTGACTGGGGTTTGTACTTGGCCCAATCGGGTGATTGTTATTTTTGCTCAAGTGGTGTAACAATAAAGGGATCCGATTCAATGTGTGAATCTGCTTCTGGTATGTATATAGCCTACTGGAGTACACAATTGTTTGTGCTGGTATTCCTGGAAAAATACCCAAACAACCCAGTATCCTCCTCCTTGTGCACTCAAATAAAGAAAGCAAAAGACATGAAATAAGAGACAGAAACAAATAATTTAAAGGAAGAATATTCTCATTTACAACAAACCGTACGGGCTTGAACACTTGAAGGAGCCTACATTATAGCTTATATTATGAAAATAAATGAAATGATAAAACAGACTTGTCTATTAAATTTATCGTCATCATCATCTTACGTCGTCGTCGTCGTCATCATCATTAATACCATCATAATTACTATACCCAAGAAGATATTATTACAATTATTACAGCTCGGCACGAATCGCTTGTAAAAATATGGCAGTTGCAAATGATACTTTTTCTCTTTTTTGTCCCTTTTCTTTTTCTTTTTCTTTTTCTTTCATAGTTTAGGGGGGGGGGGGTTATACCTTTCTCTTTCGCATGTATTGATTAGGCTAGAATTAGAATACAATATTTTGGAATGTGAATGGAAGTTTGGTATTCTACGGTATTTAGTATAGCAAACCGTAGTGTAATCACGGGCAGAATGAAAACATCTTAGTAAAAAAAAAAACAAGAAAACCCCCCCTGCCCAAATACAATAAAAGATGGAGGGGAAAGGCTACATAATGTGCATAAACAACGAAATTGTTGAGAGATATTTTTTCCCTATCTTATTTGCTAGATCTAGATCTGAAGTAAAATGACATTGACAATCGTCTGGTCGTAAATGGGAAGTAAGTGTGTATAGAAAATTTGTAGTTTAGATTATTTTAAACGGTGGCCTCCCTTACAATTCCACCAGTTGCCGCACCTTTTAATTGGCCGACAGTGGTTATTCACAGCTGCCAAATACAGGCAGAGAGAGAGAGAGAGAGAGAGAGAGAGAGAGAGAGAGAG